TGGCAGTATCAGGGTAGTTAATGGCTCTGGTGTGGGGGGTTGGTGGGATCAGGGGACTTCTCTCCACCCTGACCTGGGGTTACTTTGAGGCCTCCCACCACCTCTAACACCAGAAGAACAATTCTACTCTGTGAACCAATCCCCACCAGTCCCCTCCCATGCCAATTTACTTCAATCAGCTCCCAGCACTGTTAAACACTAGTAAAACTAGCACTGGGAGCAGCTTGTGGGATCAGGGTGTTTGATTGCCTTGGGGTGAGGGGCATCCAACTTGGGGTTGGGGGAGGGTCTGGGAGACTAAAATAGTCCAGTGGCAGTAGGGGGAGTAGGAAAAGTGTAGTGCCATGGCTGTGGCCAGCAGCTGGGGTTTCCCAGCCCCAAAGCTACACTTGGAAAATGTACAGAAGTTCATTTTTACCTACCTTCACTTATAAGACTGTGATACTTTATGACTCTTTATGAAGATAAATGTTTAATTTATCAAAGCAGTCTTTTGATATTGAAATAGTTAGGTGTCCTTCTTATTGAAATGACTGGCAAAATACAGGCAGGGAAAGTTGGGAGGGGGAAGAGGCAGATGGAAGACACATTAGAGGCAAAATTTCCCTCTGTTTGTCTTGAAATTCCATTCACTGGAATATATAATAATTGTCTCAGTAAAGTCTCTGGAAGTGTCCATGTTTAGTGTCTTTATTCCTTTTTTTTGGAACTGGTGTTGGAAAAGGTTCCTAGGCCTTGTAAAATCCAAACAGAATATTAAATTCTGAAAGTGTTCCATCTCCTAGAATGGGTTCCGTTTCCTCCTAGGTTACCACAGTTCGGCCTTCCCTAGAAAAAACATTCAAGATGTTCCGACATGAAACAACTTTCATAAAAATAATGAAAAAAAATGTCTTCCAAGTGAAATAAATCCTAAGTTGTTGAATCAAAGTGAGGTTCAGCCATTCCATTTTCATCCCAAGCACCGCAAAGCTATTGCAACATTTCTAAGCAAATTTAGTCCAGAAGAGGAATTAGTTTCCAAGCTCCTCATTATGAAGAACCACTGTCCTATTTCCCCTTTCACTTCTGATCTGTATGATTTTGATTTTGGTCAAGGGAACAAGTATAGAACATGCAGCTACCACAAGAAATGGTGGTGACAAGAGCTCCTGTAAAGGACAATTTGTAGGTCAGAAACACATGCTTTGTTGTTTCTATGATTCTACCTAAAAGCTACTATGGAAGAAGGTATTAACATGCTTTTATCTTATTGTAGCAAGCATCTAGGATGCCAGGCCAGGGGTCAGCTGGAGGGATGGATTCAGACTGTGAGGCTGGAGGGCTTTGCCTGTGCCCATACCCATCCCTACGCTGGCTCCGGGCAACAAGGAGTTATACCAGGACAAGGCAGCCCTAGCTGTGCCCAAGTTGCTGCCCGCCCAGCTCTGGTTCAACATGGTTCAAGTGATTTTGGCAGTGCATCAGCAGTGATGGGCTCTGACTGTACCCACTCTGGGGCCAGGCAGCTGGGACCTGCATCTGTGCTGCCACCAATTCTCCCAATTTCACACTTCCCAACTGTGGTGCAAGTGCAGCTTCCAGTCTGTGAGCAGCTGCGCAAGGGCTGGGCAGCTGTAAACTGTGTCTGTGCAGCCACTGCTTCTCCCCCCTCTGCCCCTGCAGCTGCAGTGGGGAGCTGTAAAGGAGCCACACAGCTGGGGGTCAGGGTGTGTGGTGGAAAGAGCAGCAGCAACACAGATATGGTTTGCACATACCTGGTCCCAGAATAGCTCAATTGTGGTTGAAAGTGGCACTTGTGCTCCAGCTGGGGAATGGGAGGCTGAGAAAAGCAGCTGTAGTATGGGTGTAGCTGCCAGCTGCCTGGCTCCAGCATGGGGAAAGCCCAAGGTGCTGATGTGCCACCGAAGCCATCTGGCCCACACTGGACCAGAGCTAAATTGTTCCAGCCCAAGACTCATTAAAGGTTGCTGGCCCCTGCCCCAGAGCGCTAGATTCAAATAATCTCATTAGCCAATTAAATTAATTATTGGTTGTACAAGGGATACCTTTCCCTCCTACAAAATATGAGCATGTGCCACAACATTTCTGCTTTCCAGTATTTCCTCTTGCAGCCTACCATGCTTCTGGGCTAGGGAGAGACATTCAAAAAGCCTGAGCCTGAACTGATTCAATTTTTTGCAGGTTAGTCTAACCTGGCTAGGCTGAACTGGTTTGTAACTGGACAGACATTCTCCCTGGACTGAGGAAATTTAGGCACAGACAGTGGCTCAGGCTAGAAGCTAGGGGGTGCTAGAGCAGCCCTCCCTTCCCTTGCACAATACTGAACTGAGGGGGTGTGGCCAGGCCCCTGCAAGACCTCTGATTACGGAGGTCTGCGTGCATGGTCCCAGGCTTTTCCCCACTGGCTGCTCAAGGTGTGGGAGTGTTGCCAGCCCCCAGCCCCCTGCTAGCACTCTGAGGCAAGGGTGTGTGTGCAGTGCATGCATGCATTGATGATACAGAGCTTTTCAATCTCGCTGTCCCTGCTTCTTTATACTGTGTGCAGCAAACTGACAAGTGAGCAAACCAGCAGGGGGCTGATAACAGTGATTATCATCACCTTATCAGCAAAACAATAGGCTCTCTCCATTACTTCAGACTCTTCTTAAACAGCTTACCAGATGACCTGTTGATTAGCTCCAAATAGCCCTAAGTGTTCACTGTTCTGTCTGTCAGTCCCAAAGAAACTGGGGTGAGACACACATAGAGAGACCTCTCAGCATGAGCTAGCATACCATATGCCTAGGGACTGTGGAGCTGGGGTCCGTGCTGTGGGAGATGGGAGCAGGGGAGGAAGGGCAGGGATTCCTGCTTAGGCAACAAGCAGCGAGGGGGTGGTAGAGCAGGGGGAAGCCAGCCAGACCCTGTTGTGTCTGTAAGTCTCTGCCAGAGCTCCAGCCAGGGAGCAGAGGGGAGGGGCCAGCTCTGCTGTAGAGCAGAGAGCCCCACCCAGCCCAGAGAGCATACCATGATGCTGGGGCTATTTGGTTTATCTTAAACCAGCAAGGGGTCTGGGACAGACACTGCATAAACCGGTTTGACCCAAATCAGTTAAGTCTGATGCTACATTCAACCAAGTTTATCTCAAACTGGTTTCAGCCATTTTCAAACTGGTTTACATGCACTGAATATCTGTTACAGGTTTAAACCAGTTTCTGATCATTTAAAGTACTGCATTAATACCATGTGTAGACATTCCCACTGGGTAGCAACCATGGCATAAACTTAATCTTTTCTGCTGTAAGACAGATCAGAAATACAGAGCATTTATCAGGGAAAAAAGAGGAGTGGAAATATCAATGGGCATATGGCAGATAAAAAAAAATCTAAATATTCACACAGCTACTGCAAGGAAATATTGTTCACTTAAAACTGAATGATGATTCTGCAAATTTAATGCTACAAAACATTCCTACGGTAGAGTGCATGCATTAGGTATTATGACAGCATTAAGAAGTAGCTCCCACTAAATTCAGTGGAAATTTTTCTATTAGATATGCACAATGGAATCTACATGTAGCCCTGAGGGATGATAATGTTTAGATTTGTGTGGTGAATTTAAGCCCATAGAAAAACCAAAATGGAAAATGCCAGAAGAAAGTTTAGAGACTACAGAAGTTGAACAAATACCTTAGAATTTCAGTGCAATGATCATTTCCACGGAAAAATATCTGCTATTTTAGTCATGTTTATAAATTACACAATGATAAAACTTTGGTATGGATTTTACCAATTTACAAATATAAAAAGCTATATCAGTTTAATATGCAAGAACCATTTCCTAACTTTCCTTCTATTCCCATAGAAAAAAAATGAAGAGATGAAAATCTATTATACTCCATTCTAATGTGCTAAAACTGTTTTGGATTATGATTCCATCTCTTCCTTACTATTCTTCCTAGACATCACAAATCATTATAATGTATGATCCATTTGGGTTTTATTAGAATTTGTTCACGGATATGTATTATGTTTTAAGTTTAGGTTTTAGACCCATCTTTGTTCATAAGCATCCAGTCAGCTTTCCAATCCCAAGACAATTGTTTTAGTGTATGAATAATTTTGCAGATGGATTATCTCTCTCTCTACAATGCCTAGGAACATTCTTTGTGCTCACAATAGACAGAAATCTAATTCAGCTGTTCCCCTTGAATTCTCTTTAGCTGAGCCATGTCTGCTTTGCTTTTTATATTTGTGTCCAAATTATGTTCACATATGTTAATCAAGAATTTGTGCAGTCTCTTGCCATTTCTCACTCCTTCTCAAACATCCCATATAACTATATAGGACATATATGAAATGTAATTGACAACATTTTCCCAAACAGCTTCACTAGGTTATTAACTCACAAGAGCCAGCTGTTTACAAGAAGCTAAATTCTGAAATCCTCACTAATTTACTATGGATTGTAATCAGTGGGGCCTTAATTTAAGTAAGAACCTATTAAATGAGACTGTAGAATCTCCACTAAAGATACAGGATATTTTGAACTGTTTTGAGGCTGATTTATATTTGTTGTTAGAGGTTCTGAGTACGTGAGAATCTTACATTCTCATAGTGGAATAAAGCAAATATTTTTTCCCTGAAAAATGGTAACCCATGCTTTCAGTTAAAGGATGATGCAGACTGGCTATAGCAAATTACATTCTAGGAATACTGATAAATGCATGTTTTGTAGAATAGTACTCCTGTTGAGGAACAAAATATGTAAAATTGTATTATCAGATTCTCCCAAAATAAATGCATGATTTAAAGGGAAAAGATGTGTAGAGACACAAGTTTTCTTAGCTGGATATACAAATTATGGAGTGGCGTTACCAGATTTGCCCGTCACTTTCGGGTGTGCTTATTTATTAGGGGTACGTTTATGGGGGTCTCTGTAATTCTATCAATGTGCTGCTTGTGTTTCTTGTGTTTCTATATGGAGCTGTATCTCTCCCTTCTGCAAGTCTTCACCCCCTATGGAGCTATCTTGCAGGATTCAGTTTCAATGGGGCTGGGTTCCTCCAACCACCAAATCAGTCAAACACACATATGCACATACACATACCGATCAACAGGACACGCCTGCGCCAGGCCGGGTTATTTAGCATTGGCACGCTAACACCCTCATTTGCCTTGAACTCAGTTCATCAGGGCAAGAATAAAATGCAGCCAGACACAAGTACATGGGTTAACAGAGCACATATGAGTCAGGCTGGACTATTCAGCATTGATAGGCTCACACCCTCATGTGCCTTGAATTCAGTTCATCCCTTATTTCAGCAGGACAATAATAAATGCAGTTACACACACACACACACACACACACACA